CGAACCTATAAGGCAGAGGGGGACCATTGCAGGATACTGAGGTGACAAAGCGAAAAGGAAGATTGCTCTACACAAAACCTACACAAGAATTTTCAGTCAGATCTGTAGACTCCCACAAACCTGGAAAAGCAACACACTTTCTGCAGACATTCCTATTGACTGGAATGTCAGACATAATTGATACAGCCATAAGGTTCCTAACTGCTTGCACTGATCATTTTCACTGCCTCAAGGGAATCACTGCACATTCTTGGTGCAGGATAAGAGCTCACGAAAGGAAGTTTCAGAGGTGATTCTAAATCATGTGCAGGAGGGTAGATTTTTAGGTCCAGGATTTCTTTGATAGTGGAGTCCCTGGTATTCTCTGAGTGTGATTGCTTTCTTGCAAAGGGTTCCTTACCTAAGTAGGTAACATCCTTAGTGCACTGATGTTATCTAGTTGGCCAAAGAAACATCTACTAGCAAACAGATTTAACAGATTAACAGAGTTGGAAGGGATTTTATCGGTCATCTAGTCCAACCCCCCCCCCCCACTGAAGCAGGAGATCCTACACCATTTCCCACAAATGGCAGTCCAATCTCTTCTTGAAAGCCTCCAGTGATGAAGCTCCCACAACTTCTGTTCCATTGGTTGATTGTTCTCACTGTCAGAAATTCCTCCTTATTTCTAGGTTGAATCTCTCCTCGGTCAGTTTCCATCTATTATTCCTTGTCTGGCCTTCAGGTGCTTTGGAAAATAGCTTGATCCCCTCCTCTGTGTGGCAGCTCTTCAAATATTGGAGCACTGCTCTCCTGTCTCCCCTGGTCCTTCTCTTCTCTAGACTAGCCATGCCCAGTTCCTGAAACCGTTCTTCATATGTTTTAGCCTCCAGTCCCCTAATAATCCTGGTCGCTCTTCTCTGCACTTTTTCTAGAGTCTCAACATCTTTTTTATAATGTGGTGACCAAAACTGGATACAGTACTCTAGGTGTGGCCTTACTAGGACTTTATAGAGTGGTATTAGTACTCCACTTGAGCTTGAGTAACAGTATCCCTCTGTTAGGATTGCATTGGCTTTTTTGGCTGCCACTGCACACTTCTGGCTCATATTTAGCTGGTTATCTAGTAAGACTCCAAGATCCCTCTCACAGTCACTGCTATTAAGCCTGGTTTCACCCAGTTTATATGTGTACTTTTGGTTTTTCTTATCTAAGTGTAGGACTTTACTTTTCTCTACAAACAACAAAGAGAACACCGGGACTCCACAGTTCAATCCTGAGCTGCAAATATTCTCTTCTATTGGTTGTTTGATTGCTAAAGTAGACATGTGGGATGATCAGGGATTATCTCTAACCCTAGACTGGTCCAAGACAAAATTTGCAATTGTGCCTTGATAGCAGCCCATTTGGCCTAAACCACAGTCTACAGAGCCCAAATTCCTGCATGCTTTTATCGAATGCCACCCCGCTCCTTCCCACCCTCTAGCCTTTTGTTGCTCTCACCCATGGGAGTGCCAATCCCATAGCCCTTGGAATCAATCAGTCCCCCAATCTGGGTTAGGTTGCAGTTTCGTTGGGTGATGTACTCAATGGTGGTGGATTCCATCAGCAGGGCATAATCAGAAGTCAGGGCACGCTGGATCCCTTCTTCGTTGTTCTTCACAAGAGCTGAGGGTTTGCTGCTCATGAAGGCCCACATTTTTTCAAAAGTAGAGATCTTGGATTTCTGGAAGGGCAGATCAATGGAAAAACGAAAGAACAAAAAGGGCAGTTTTTTTAAGCCAAAGCAAGAGGGATAAGGTAGACTTCACTCAAAAGCCATTGTGGGCCAGCTCCTGCCCAGGCCTTGCCTTCATCTCAAATGTCAGACAGCAGGAGATTTGGGCTCAAAATGGGCCACCTGTCAAAAGGGGGTAAAGCAAAAGCACTCTTCCTTTACATTACACAGAAGAATTCTGCATGAGCTACATTACTCCAGCTCCTCCATAATGCACATGGCTCTTTGGTGCCTACTGTTTCTGGTGATGGATGGTGTTCCATGAAAATCATGAATGAGAAGTGTTTGAGCAGGTGGAATCACAGAAAACTAATCCAAAATTCAAAGAGCTTTTGCCAGGACTGTTCATGGCAGAACACATAACCTGATGGCTGGTTCTATGGTTGGGTTGGCAACCTGTAACTAAGGCAGACAAGCTCAGACTATCAGGTAGCCACCATGACACTTTCCAAGTTTTCAAATGCTGGAGGAGAAGAACAGAACTACAGAGTAGAAGAGTTGGAAGGGACCTTGGGGTCTTCTAGTGCAACACCCTCTCAAATAAGCGACCTCTATATCAATCCAGACAAATGGCTCTCCAATCTCTTCTTAAAAACCTGATGGGGCACCCACAACCTCTGGAGGCAAACCGTTCCACTGGGGGATTGTCACTGATGTAAAGAAAGAGGATCATTAAGATTAGAAAGTGGCACAAGCATAAGAATGTTTCTTTTTAAAAAGCAAAACAGGATAGAATACAACTCTCAACTAGGAGAGATCCCTGGTGATTATCATCCTTGGCCTTGGATGGGGCTGAACTATCCCAGGCAGACTTGGTGCGTAACTTGGGGGTCCCTGACTCACAGCTCCTGCTTGAAGAGCAGGTGACAGTCATGGCCAGAAGGCTCTTTGCCTAATTCTGTGTTGCACACCAATTGCACCCTTCCCTGGACAGGGAGTCTCTACACTCAATCACTCATGCCCTGTCATCTCCCAATTGCTCACTGAAGTGCACTGGGTACCTGTTTGCTTCTGGGTCCAATTCAAGGTGTTGGCCATCACTTATAAAGCTCTACAAGGCATAGGACTGGGTTATCTACAGCAGTGTTTCTCAACCTTGGCAACTTGAAGATGTCTGGACTTCAACTCCCAGAATTCCCCAGCCAGCATTCGCTGGCTGGGGTATTCTGGGTGTTGAAGTTCCGACAAC